GCTCCGGTTTTTCTTTGGTCAAATATTTTTAATTTAAGTGTAAACAACTGTGTTACTGTGTTTACATTTATTCAGAAGAAGGGTGGTTGCGCACYGCTAATAAATCTAAAGAAGTCAGCAGATTGAGTTGAAACTTCACTTTGTCACAGTCTCCCATCCTGAGCAGCACATTGGTGACAGTGGAGCGGAGAAACTCTCTTTTAACAGGAAGAAACCTCCAACAGAACCAGGCTSAGGACAGGCGGCCATCTGGCTCGACTGGCTGAGTTTGGGTGGGAACAGGAAGGAAACACAAACACAAGTAACTGGTCCAGATCTATTTCCCTCTGGAAGAGAGACGAAGAAAACACGTTATTGATAGAAGTAATTATAACAAACACGTAGAGGAGAGAGACTAAAGACAACAGCAGAGTGAGGAAATGTGCTCAGTTTGTGCTCCAGCAGTCTAAACCTATAGCAGCAGAACTAAGGAATAAGTCATGAAAATTAAGTCTAACTTAAGGATTGTTCAAAAATTAAAGTCTTCAGTCTAATCTTAAAAGTAGACTGTGTCAGCCTCACGGACAGAAACTGGAAGTTGGTTCCAGAAGAGAGGAGCTTGAAAACTGAAAGCTCTGCCTCCCCTTTTAGAAACTTGAGGAAGCACAAGTAAACCTGCAGTCTGAGAGCGAAGTGCTCTGCTAGGAAAATATGGAACAATAAGATATTTAAAATAACTTACTACAGACCAGAAACTTGTATTTTTCAAAAACATTAAAAGCAAAACAATAAACCCAAAGACGAACAGATGGGAACAAAACGCGAAGTTGCTGGAAAGACTGGAAATGTTTCAATTTCAAAAAAGTGGTAGTTGGGTTATGAGTTTTAAACTAAATATAATTTACTGTATTTTACTCGAAAAAAATCTCATCAAATGTTTTAAGATTCTAAAAAAAACATTTTCACTCTCCTTTTCTGAATTCACTTCTCATTTTTTCACATCAAATCAACTTCATTCCTTTTTTTCTTTTTTTTTTTTTAACATTTCCAGAGCTTCCCCCAAAGGAAGCACGTTAGACGGTGGGTGATGCTCAGTGTGACTGGGTGGCCCGGTGTCAGAGTGCGGCTTGTGTCAGCATTTTAAACCTTGTGACAATATGAATAAAGCATGATATGGTGGGCAGKGGCTGACAGGAGAACAAGCTCAGCCAGTGTTTTGGTGACGGTGGACAAGTTTAAAACCTTAAAGTTTAATGGAGGCCACGCCACAGTGCGCGTGGGTCCTGTGGTTTAACTGGGCTGCTACACACGCTGCTTTAGCTGTGGGACGTACGAGTGATGCTAATAAAGTCAACAGCCTGCCTCTTGTGTGATGAATCAGGGTCACCACCACTACACCACTAGTGGGAAGTGAATATGGTCAATCAGCCTCTCTTTTGTGCAGAAAGACTGTTTTAGTTCAACCCGACTCTCGTAAAGTTGTTGACCTCCCAGAATCCTGTGGTTTCATTGGTCTGTGTTCATCTCATCATCCTAATGTCTCAACAAAGATGCAGATTTCACCACAGTTCCCTGTGACTGCATATAAAGTCTCCTTGTTTTCCTGTTATTTATATTCTGTTTTCTCTTTTTCTTTACTTCAATTTAATCTGTTTCACTGTGAAACTCAAGTGTTGCTTTAGTAAAAAGGATCAGGAGAATGTGTGAAGATGAGAGAATGAGCGTGTCTCCAGGAGTTCTGCACTTTGAAAATTAAAATACRAAGAATTGGTGTGGCAAGGAGTCTTTGTTTAAGATGACTAGCTGATCATTGTTTACTTTTTTTTATATCAAGACCACATTTTAAAGTATTTTAGGTTGCTTATTGTTTACCCTTTGTGTATAATTGTGCTATTGCTAGCTTTACAAGTTTTTTTGTGCATTTTCACGTAAAGCCTACGGGGACAGGGACTGCAATATAGCCAGTAATAGAGGTCCTGCATACATGGCAACATGTTTTATGCATAACTTGCCAGTAAAACTGTTATGTATTTTTTATCTGCTAAATAAACTTCAGTTGATTTASATATTGTCCACTACTGTGCAGAAAAATAACTCATCCTGATGAACAATTATTTAGACTTTGTACTCAGTTCAGGGGGACTTTTTTATTTTGCGTTACCATTGCATTACCTCGCCATATTAAGTCATTTATTACTGTTCTGCCTGCTGGTTTATTAACAAATTCACATGCTCACCATAATATGGGAGTTAGCCTATTACTTTAATTCAGYTTTGGATTAAATGTATCACAGAAACACGCAGGGAGATATTTAATATGCAGATGTTTTTAACTCTGTGCAGCCACAAAATATCACAATCAAATTTCCGAACTTGTGGTGACATGTTTTGATAACTGGATATTTCAAAATAAAAGTCTGATTTAATTCAGTTCATACTAAACAAACCTTCATGTGGGAACGCAAAACAGTATTGCGAGGGAATGCAAATGTTTGCGAGGTAACACAAAGGTATTGCGTGGGAATGCAAAAGAACCCCGCCCCCCATGTCCCGTCGCGGGCTCCGTACCTTCTCAGGGTAGTTAAAAGAAATGTAATCATATAAGTTTGATTATTTGTTTTTATCACAGTAATGAGACAAGAGCATTAAAGCATTTGTAATGATTTTACAGTTATCTTTGTCTAAAAAGCAGTCAAGTTAAATGCTGAGGCAGCCATTTATAGTGACTATAATTGTGACAAAGTATTTTTATTTTCTAAATATAACCTACTTGATGCAATTGATCACTTTTTTCTGAAGAAATTCATCTGTAAAGTATATTTGAGTCTCCATGGAACTCTATCAAAATCCTACCTCTCACAAACATGTTTAATGCTACTCTTTTAAACAGTAGTTGTGATTAGTTTAATGAAAATGCTCATGTTAACATGTCCGTTTGAACACTTTGACCAGCGGAATGCAGCAACTTGACTGTTTATTGCGTAGAAGTTTCAGAATCTAAACTTAAGTGTGTGTGAGTGTGTGTGACTGAGGCCTCCTTCCTCACATGGGATGGCCGAGCTCTGTCTACCAAATCCAGTGTGTCAGTGAGCAAATTGAAAATGCCAATTTCACTTTCCCCTGCTCCGCATCTTATCTCTCCCTTCTCCTCATCCCACCACTTAGCTTATGTTTAAATGAATAAGGTCCTTTCACGCACGTGTCAGTGTTCGATTTCTGCCTTCGCTTCCCTGACCGTCTCAACACCTCCACGACCTCCTCATCCTTCTCCCTATCTCCTTCTTGTCAACTGTCCTGTCTTATCTCCTTCCATATCACTTCCCTTATCTCCTCATCCCAGTTTCCATTCCTCCAAGCCTGTTCAACTGTAACCCATCTTCTCTATGTGTGTTTATGAAATATGTCTGCTTTTGAAGATTTGGATTTATGCATGCTTATGTTCTTGAGCCGTATTGCTGTCTGCATAGGACGAGTTTGGGTGAATCACTATGCAAATGAATCAATTTTTCACACAGTTCCCAATTTGCATTGAATTCATTATAAATCAACAATTTCTTTCACGCTTTCTGTGTCTGTTTTTCTGTTGCAGTATGACTATGAGGGCAGTGATATCAGTGACCTGCCGGTTGACCTCTCTGTGGTGTGGAATGGAAACTTTGTCATCGACAACCCTTTCAACATTCAAGGTAGGAAATGTATCCTTATTTGTAATTYATACTTTTTTCTTTTTCCTTTTTTCCTCCGTGTTGGTAAAACATGCAAGGCATGCCRCTCATCTGCAACAGATTTGTGATAAGTAACAACATGTGCAGTGCCCCCACATCCCCCCACCCCATCATAGAAACTCTGTTATTTTATTTCTGACAACAATCAGAAATAAAGGTGAGAGTGTACTTTTTGTTTTAAAAAACATTTTTGTTTTGTTTTGTTTTTTGTCCCAAGAATAGGAGAAAAGTGGAAGTAGAGGCTATGGTGATGAAAATAAACTTTTATCACAGACATTAACAGATTTCACTCAGCATTCTGCCTTGTATGTTTGGGATTCCAGTGGGGAATCTGTGCCCCTGTTTGCTGAAGCCCTCTCAACCTATTCTTTGTTTAAAAAAAAAGAGAATTTCATCAAGAAGGGGGTCTCTTCTGTCAAAAAGTGGGAGTTTCTTGGGTGTGGGCGTGATTTGGTAATCTGTGGTTAATTGGATGGACTCCAGAAGATGTATTGACTAAAATTAGTATTCATATTAAAAACAACAATCTTTTTTTTTCAGATGAGATTGGGCCATTATGACTGAGCTAAATTGTTACTCATCCCTCCACATGAATGGTATTCAGAGCTAGCACCTTCCTGTCTCGAGTTATGACTAAAATCAATATTCATAAAATTAGCAATCTGATCTGTTTCACTTCTCCCCAGCTGCCTTTATCCAAACTACGCTCACATGTCAATCTGACCAATCATAGTTTACTCAAACTACACCCATGTGTCAATCTGACCAATCATATTTTATTAAAACTACGCCCACATGTCATTCTGACCAATCATACTTTACCCAAACTACGCCCACATGCCAATCCGACCAATCATATTTTACCCAAACTACGCCCACATCAATCCAATCAATCATAGTTTACCCAAACTACACTTACATATCAATCTGATCAATCATAGTTTACCCAAACTACACTT